AAATTGCATCACCTGATTCAAAAATTATTTTGTTTTCAATATCAAAAAATCTATAGGCTGTACTAGTTGTTGCATATCCAAGAAAAGCACAAGTGGTAGCTTTCACACCCAATTTAGGTCTTTCAGGGTCCACAAGTCTAACAAAAGTCAAACAACCCCAAACCCTCAAATATCTCAAATTTGACTTATGCCCTTTCCACAACTCAAAAGGTGTAACTTTTGTTTTTTTTATGTGGTACTCTATTCATAACATAACATGCAGTTAAAATTGCTTCTCCCCACAAATTTGAAAGAGCACCTACTTCAATTAGCATAGCATTTGTTAAATCAGTTAAAGTTCTATTTTTCTTTTCTGTTACACCATTAGATGCAGGTGAATATGGTGGAGTAGTTTCATGGATTATTCCCAAAGACTAAGCAAGCGAGTTGAATCCAAAAGATTCATACTCCCGACCTCTATCACTTCTATATCTTTTAATCTTTTTACCAAATTGATTTTCAACTTGAAGAAAGAATTCTTTAAATTTTTCAAAAGCATCACTTTTATTTTTCAACAAGTATACATAAGTGTATTTTGAAAAATCATCAATAAAAGTGATAAAATATCTACTTCCACCACATGTTAAAATTCCTTCAAATTCACATAAATCAGTGTGAATTAATTCTAACAGTTCAGTATTTCTCACCACTCTTTTATGAGGCATTTTAGTTATTTTTGCTTGACTGCAAACTTCACATTTCTCAAACTTATTTGTTAGTTTCGGAATTAATCTAAAATTACTCATGACTCCCACATATAGACTATTAATATGACACAAAAGAGCATGCCAAAAATTCATAAAAGACAACATGTAAACAGAAACATGTGTTTTCTTATTCTCAACATTTAATTTAAACATTCCATCAGAGGCATACCCTTTTCCCACAAATATGCCTTTTTTAGTGATTACATATTGGTTAGATTCAATAGTCTGCTTGAAACCAGCTTTGTTGAGCAAATAACTCGACATCAAATTTTTCTCATGAACGGTGTGTATAACACATCTTTTAGAACAACCACACGTCTAGAGGTAAATTTCAGCTCAACATCCCCACACTCGAGTACCTTTGTTAAACTAGAGTGACCAAGCATAACAGTCCTCTCCTCATTAAAAGGAGTGAAATCTTTGAACCAATCTTTATCATAGCAAACATGCATATTGGCACTAGAGTCTGCCCACCACCCTTCCACAGATTAAACCATAAAAATATCTGTAATCATAGCCACAAATGGTTTCTCGGTAACATTAGCCTGTGGTCGAGACTATTGTTTCCGAAATTTGCAAGTTCGAGCAATATGCCCACTTTTGCCACACACAAAACATGTCACATTTGTCAGATCTTGTGAAGGGGGTTCTTGGTTCCATTTTTTTTGCCTCAGGCAATTTTTGTTTTGTGGCATTCCATTATTTTTCCAGATTTTCTTAACTGGCTTTAAGTGACTATTTTTATGAAATCAACATTTAGGTAAAGTATTTCCATAAATTAAGTTAAAGTATTTCCATAAATTAAGTTTACCTTTGCAGTGAAATACTCTTGTATCATAAGCACATCTTGTCCCCGTGCTTCCTCCTCCACCCAAATCCGTGTGATTAGAGTCTCCAAGGACGTCTCTTTTTGCTTGTGACGCATTGACTTCTAAAACTCCCTCCAAGATGATGGTAGTTTGTCAATAATACCTGCCACAACAAGATTGTCTCCAATTTTGATGCCTTCAGATCTAACTTCAACCACTAGCATATGAAAATCTTGTACTTGCTCCACCACTGATTTTCCATCTATCATCTGATAGCGAAAAAAGCGGCTTGTTGCATATTTTTTAGCATCTGCCTCTTCAGTGTTATAGTTATTCTGCAAGGCTTTTCAAATTTTCTTAGCGGTGATGTAAGTAGTATCATAATAATCATAAAATTGATCCGAAAGACAATTCAAAAGATAATACCGACATTTATACTCATTTGTATTATATTTCTTGATTTTTTCAAGATGAACGGCATACTCCTCGTCAGTCATCTCTTCAATGAAGACTTTGTTTGGATTTTTCTCGGTCAAGATATAGGCCACCTTGAAGAGACTGAGGTAGAAAAGCACCTTGCCTTTCCATCTCTTGAAATGGGTTCCCTTGAACCGGAAGGGCTTGTTGAGATCGCCGGTATTCTTGTTGGGCTTCTCCAATACTAGCTCCATGAATTTTACTATTTGAATCTCCTTAAAATTGTTGGTGATAATTACAAAGATAATACAAATAAAAAAATTACAATAACTATTGTAAGGGCAGAAGCGCGGGAAATTTGCTCTCTTTAAGGAGATTCAAGCCCTCTGCGATTAGGCAAAGCCTCACACCAGTGCAGCAGAAAAAACCATGACTTGTCCCCCCCAAGATGCAACAGCCCGACTAAGTCGTATGGTTCACCAATACTTCACAATTGGTTGAACCCAATGCTTCATCACATACACCTTTTATTTCTTTTCCTGATAATCTCTCAAATAAGGAACTTGAGCTAACAATAAGAGAGGTGAAAGGCTCAATTTATAGGAGAGGTAACTTGGAAGGCAAATTTCTTGGTGGCCAAGTTTTCCTGGAGACTTGGTGGATAAGAATAAAGACTTGACTTGGAGACTTGGTGGGCAAGTTTTGGAAGACTTGGAGAAGAAGAAAACCTTGACTTAAAGGAAAAGAAAACTTGGAGGGAAAAAAAAGAAAATCAAACCTATAACACATTATAATATTAAAATATCTGCTAACAACTTGTAAGTAGAATAAGAATGAAAAGGGCCCCAAAAACATCACTGTGGATGAGTGAACGAGGCTTGTTTACACTTGAATTTGACAATTGAAAAGGAAGTCTATGACTTTTAGCAACACAACAGTCTACACAATCTTGAGCAGCATGATGTACATGTTTAAGATGCAAATGATGTTTGAGATGATGAAATTTCAGAGATGAAGGATGGCCTAATCTATTATGTCAAACAGTAGTAGTAACAAGAGCAGATACATCAGAAGTAGTAACATAAGCCTGTGAAAAAGATGGAGAATCAGCAGATGAAGAAACAGCAGGTGGAAGAAAATGGTAAAGTCCATTGATGTTAGATCCCTTGTGAAGAACTTTCTTTGTAATTTTGTCCTGAATCACAAAGTTAGAGTCATCAAATGTTATGATGCAATGATTATCCTGAGCTAATTTCTGAACTGAGACAAGATTTGATGAAATAGATGATGAATGAAGGACATTATTAAGTCGAAATGAATAGTGTGGAGTAGGTAGAATTCTTTTACCAGTGTGATTGATAGGAACTGAGTTGCCATTCCCAATAGTGACCTGGTCTGCACCTTGATATGGTTGATAACAGGAAAGAGTATTGAGATCATTAGTTATGTGATCAATAGCAGCAGAGTCAAAGTGCCATGGGACTGATGATGATGAGGATACAGCATTAGAAGAAGAAGCAAGCAACAAAGGCCCTAGGTGCTAAAGATGGAGAGGCATTAGGATTAGCATGTGACATCTGATAAGAAGACTGAAAATCCATTCGGTGCCAACAATGAAGGGATAAATGACCAAATCCTCTACAAATTTGACAGGCTTGAGAAATCTGAGAATGAGATTGAGAGTATCGTCCTCTTCCTCTAGTAGAATTACCAGAAAATCTGCCATTGCCTTTGTAAAATTTGCCTCCTCTTCCTCCTCTAAAAGAGGATCGACCTCGAAATGAACCAAAATTGTGTCCTCGAGGTGAAAAGGTAGGAGGAGGAGAAGTAAAACCTTTTATGGTAGAGAATGCTACTGTTGGTTCTGAAACATTTCGTCTTTGCTTCCATATGAACTGCTTCAGAACACAAAAGAGAAGACAACTCTTCCATTGAGATACAGCCAGATCTGGCTCAAATTGTTGTTTTGAAAGCATCAAACTCATCAGGAAGGCCATTCAAGGTTAATAGAACAAGATCTTCATCATCAATAGCTACTGATGCAAGAGCCAACTGACTCACTATGTCTTTGATTTTTGAAAGATATTCCTCCATTGATTCAGACTTCTTCACCATAGAATTCAATTTATTCTTCAGTTGATGGATATGAGACCTTGAAAGAGAAGTGTATTTCTTGTGAAGAGCAGACCAGACTTCGGCACAATGATGAACTTGAAGAATGATGGAGTAGATCGGAGGAGATACAATAGCATTAAGGCAACTCAACAAGTGAGCATCAATTAGATTCCATTGAAGAAAATCTGGATTAGTAGCTTCAAGACCATTAGCATCAATGATTGTAGGAGGAGGACAAAGAATAGAACCATCAACATAGCCAAGGAGATTGGTAGCTCGAAGTATATTAGAGGCTTGACTACTCCAAATAATGAAATTGGTGGAGTCAAGCTTAACAGTAACAAATGAAGAAATATTTGTGATCAGAAGTGCAAGATTTCATGGAATTGAAGAAGACAAAGATAATACGGAAGCTGCCATGGAAGAACCCTCTATGAGCTTCACAGCTCTGATACCATGAAGAAAAGATGAAACTATTATTCCATTCTTTCAATATTACAAAATGTTCATATATATATCTATAGCTGAACCTATACAACAGATTTGTATCTAAACACATGTGCTAATTACTTGTAACTAACTTTCTAACAAACTAACTCCCTAACAAACTATCTAACTAATCCATAGCTCATATAACAACTTTAAGCTAATGCAGCCACAGATACTCAGCTGCAGCTAGGCTTCATGTAGTTAGACTCATTGAACTATAACATGAGCTGCAACCTGAGCTGCGAGTGATCTTTGAGCTGCTCTTAGGCTTTGATTGAATATCCTCAACAAGCACTCAAGATAAATGTCTCCTCACATCTATTGATGTATACACGTCTATATGTTTATGTATAATATATATATATATATATGCATGTACAATATACATATACACATGCACACATATTCAAAAAGAGACCCATACTATAAATTTTGGAAGCCGGATCTTGTACACATTCAAAAGTTCCATCACGACATCAAATAAGTTTGAAAAGGCATTGTCCAACACCATTCCATCTATAGATGGGTCTTCTGCTCCATAAAGAAGACTGCATTACATCAAACAAAATCAGAGCATCACATTTCTGGAGTCTAATAATATATCATACAGTAAGAAAAGTGATTACCAACTAATGCCTCAGACATAATTTAAAACTAAAATGGTTGTCGATTTGATTGGTCTGCTGGTCTCAAAAAGTTTTAGTTTTAGGAGATTGACTTCCCCAATAACAAAGACAATTATGATAAACAAACATAATAGTAATTGGGTAGAGAAGGGTCAAGATGTGATACCTAATGACTGCACCCATAGAACGTCCCCAAAGACCGATGCATGATATTTGTTCACTGCTTCTCAAATAAGACACCACAACCTTGAGATCATCTTTCTGGCATGCAGACGAAAAGAAACTAACAAGCTTGACAAACACCTCAAGGATATCATTAACACGGAGAAAGAGAAAAATGCACCTCATACCAACCAAGGCTCACATAATCACCATCAGACAAGCCAGAACCCGAAAAATCAAGAGTAAATACAGTAATATTGGATGGAAGAAGAATTGCAGCAGCCTCCAATGCTTCTATCCTGCATCCATTGCAAGGTCCACAGGAACAAAATGATTAATTTTCCACCTCTTAATATGTGAAGCACTCTTCATAGAGACTCCAAATTCTTTCAGAGAGTGATATAAGCAATATATCTTCTCAAGCAAGGAATATTTTGAGAACAATATGCAAATATTACACATACAAGATTCACTAACACATATGAGTGCTAAACCCACAGTCAAGTATTAAGTTTTCTGGCAATAAAATATCTTCAGTGATTGTGACAATCCTGTTTCCATGGCAGTATATGACACAAGGTAGGGGAGTGTCTTCTGGGAAAGGTGAAGGCACAAAATGACTGCACTGCAAGGTGTGGCCTCTTTGATTCCTTAGCTGCAAATTTGAAATAACACGTAGTCTGCGAAGCTTAAAACCATAATAAATATGAAACAGAATGCGTATTGTAAATAGGTAGTGGCAATGGAAGCTGAAAGTTTGGTAATGGATGTCCACACTTGCCTCAAGGTCCTGTCTTTTGCATTTTCTGCCCGTAATAGTAAAATCCTTTCCCTGTAATGGATTTTAATTGGCCCTGCATATCCAGCATATAGATGGAACGACAAATACGAGGAAGATTAAACATTGAGAAATGCTAGCAAAATCTCATAAATGTTGTATAACATTAAGGTACAAGTTAATAACATGAGAGAGTGTGAGGGCACCACCATTTAAAGTATGAGATGATAGAAGTGGTCAATCTAATCGGCTATTTGCAGAGACTAATGACTAATTTATTCCAGTCAATTAGTGCTATTGGACACGAGGACAACTTGAAAGAATGTTTTGGGGGGTAGTAAGAAAACCTGAAGCCTTAAGTAAAGCAACTTGGGAGAATTTTTTTGGGTTAATTTCATTTGTCCTAGGTGGTTTACGTTGAAAACACATATGCTCAAACTTCAAAAGCGACACTTAAACTCGGTGTTCATGACTAAAAAGAGAAATTATCATTTTTTTCGGTGCATTTTTAACAGAGAGAGTAATGCACACACTTAGAAATTGACTGAATGATTGGGCAGTAGTTTTTCCACCATATTGAATGAATAGAAGGACAATATCGCCCTTGTTCTACCAGGCTACAGAGTTGCAGCATCACTGTCTGCAACTTTTTCTTCATTATAATTTAAGCATATAGTAGTGATGAGGACGAAAACGGCAATTACAATGTGCATATTACAAAGGAGAAGTATCAAGCAACGATTGGAGAACACATTCAAAAGTACAAGAGGAGGCTCAATAATTCCTCTGCAAGTCCTAAAACTACTCAAATTGGGATGCCAGTCCAAAAATTGTAGTTCCAAGGTTTCGAAATTGAGAAATGAGCTTCAAGGTGGGTTAAATAAAATTGAATCAACACCAGATCTTCTCAATGATGTTAGTCCTCAAAGCTGAGAAATAATCATCAAGTAGATTTTGCTCTGGAATATGGCATTAATAGGTTTCATTTTTTCTCAAAAACTAGTATAAGTGCAGATCTGTTTCACTGACATTTGAACTTTGAAATGATATTTTTTCTTTATTCAAATTTGGAAAACACTTTGTAGATCAATTTATGAACCTAGTTACTTGGATTTTGGGCGCAGCATCACTCATAGGATAATTAAAGCTTACGAAAAACTAGCAGTATTGTTGATTTTGCCTGTTACGTAAAGGGTTCCCTTGATTTGGGTCATTGGCTGCAATGATGGCTAATGAGAAGAGATTTGGGCCTAGAAGCCGAGGAAGGGTGGGTAAGTATAGGCCCCAAAATCTTGTCATATTTATAGTTTTGTTTTTGAAGCTTACTGGTGCTTTTTCTTTTTCAAGTGAAAAGGAAGGTGAGTAGATCACTTAAATTGATGAGGGGTGCTGCAATTCGTACAAGGAAACTGGCCAAAGACACGTTGTCATGGAAGAGTGTCAATAAGGAGAGAGTATTCTTCTTTTTTTCCTTTGTTAAATTGTTTGAATGAACTTGGTTGTTAAAGGGCTTTTACAACATAGATCTTGCGTTGCAAAGAGGCAAATTTATTTGTAGTTTCACTACAGATTAAATAAGCTTTCTCACAAACTTGGACTGGTTCTGCCATACAGGAAAAATATATGGGGGTCTTCTCTGGTTGGTGCACCTGCTTCTATCTTGAACAATTGGGCTGATGAATTTAATCGTTTCTGTTCTGACTTGAAAGCTCTTCCTGATCGGGGTGAGCACCTATGTTTTGGCAGTTTGCATATGTTCAATAGTCTTGTATTTATGTGGGTAATTAAGAATGGATTCAAGTTGCACTAGGACGTCGCTTCAAACATAATCTTCACCCAACTAGTCAAAAGACAATTTTGCCCACGGTTTTCAATTAATTGTCAGCAGAAATAGAAGCTTTTAGACATCACTTACTCCCTCTATGGAGAGCACAAACAATTTATAATTTAAGCATATAGTAGTGATGAGGACGAAAACGGCAATTACAATGTGCATATTACAAAGGAGAAGTATCAAGCAATGATTGGAGAACACATTCAAAAGTACAAGAGGAGGCTCAATAATTCCTCTGCAAGTCCTAAAACTACTCAAATTGGGATGCCAGTCCAAAAATTGTAGTTCCAAGGTTTCGAAATTGAGAAATGAGCTTCAAGGTGGGTTAAATAAAATTGAATCAACACCAGATCTTCTCAATGATGTTAGTCCTCAAAGCTGAGAAATAATCATCAAGTAGATTTTGCTCTGGAATATGGCATTAATAGGTTTCATTTTTTCTCAAAAACTAGTATAAGTGCAGATCTGTTTCACTGACATTTGAACTTTGAAATGATATTTTTTCTTTATTCAAATTTGGAAAACACTTTGTAGATCAATTTATGAACCTAGTTACTTGGATTTTGGGCGCAGCATCACTCATAGGATAATTAAAGCTTACGAAAAACTAGCAGTATTGTTGATTTTGCCTGTTACGTAAAGGGTTCCCTTGATTTGGGTCATTGGCTGCAATGATGGCTAATGAGAAGAGATTTGGGCCTAGAAGCCGAGGAAGGGTGGGTAAGTATAGGCCCCAAAATCTTGTCATATTTATAGTTTTGTTTTTGAAGCTTACTGGTGCTTTTTCTTTTTCAAGTGAAAAGGAAGGTGAGTAGATCACTTAAATTGATGAGGGGTGCTGCAATTCGTACAAGGAAACTGGCCAAAGACATGTTGTCATGGAAGAGTGTCAATAAGGAGAGAGTATTCTTCTTTTTTTCCTTTGTTAAATCGTTTGAATGAACTTGGTTGTTAAAGGGCTTTTACAACATAGATCTTGCATTGCGAAGAGGCAAATTTATTTGTAGTTTCACTACAGATTAAATAAGCTTCCTCACAAACTTGGACTGGTTCTGCCATACAGGAAAAAATATATTAAGAATTATGTTGGTCCACAGACTGACTTCTATATTAAGAATTAATATTTTTAAATGGTAATTTGATCTTTCCTTTTGGAAATGTAATGCGTATAGTTTTTTTTCACAATTTTCAAGTTTCAAGTGTTAGAAAAATTGAGGAAGACAAAAATGGAGCTAAAAGATTAAGGAAATTAAGAATGGATTCAAATTGCACTAGGACGTCGCTTCAGACATAATCTTCACCCAACTAGTCAAAAGACAATTTTGCCCATGGTTTTCAATTAATTGTCAGCAGAAATAGAAGCTTTTAGACATCACTTACTCCCTCTACGGAGAGCACAAACAATTTTGCCCATGGTTTCCAATTAATTGTCAGCAGTCCATTTAAAAGCTCAAGACATATAACTCTTGTTTGGAACCTTCGTTATTTTATTAAGTTATTTTAGTTTTTAACTATTTTAATATATTAAAATTTTTGTATTTACAAAGGTGATTAAATTTTTTTGTAGTTAGATTTGATATTTGTGAAAGAAAAAGTGAAATGATTATGAATTTGATGTGATATTTTATTTTATTAACTATTTTACCATATTTTATCTTTTTATGAATTTTAACCTAAAAAGCCAAAAAATAACCTTTGCCAAACAAGGCCTAATATATAGTTGTAGTTAACGACAACATTCAAATGTAATCACAAGCTTCCTCTCTAACCAAAAAAAAAAAAACACACACACACACAAAATGTAATCAGAAGCCAATAATAGGTCCAACAAACAAGTGAAGCATTGTCAGATGCGAAAAAATAAAGCAAACAAATGCAAATAATGAGGTGGTCGGGCATGCAATAATTTCAAGCCAAAAAAAATAAACACTAACTTGTCACATACAGAGGCTACAAGAGATGAATATACCTGGTCGGCCGAATGACAAGGTTGATTAATAGATCTATCATCTTGCACCGAGATACTAGGGCTGAGTAAGGAATTCGTGAAATCCGTAATTCAATCTAATTCAGTCTAATCCGATAGGTTTGGATTGATTTTTTGAATTCGCGGTTTGGTTCCGGATTGAAGAATTAAAAATCCGTAGTCCATGGATTGGTTCCGGATTGAACCCCACGGTTCCGGATTGGAACCGATTCGGACCGTATACAAAAAGTCTATATTTTTATTATACATCCCCCCATAGTATCTTCTCTTATTTTATATAAAATCTAAACTCAAACCTAAAACTATATAATATCTTCTTTCATTACTTTTGTTTGTTAGTTTTTAGTTTTAATTTGTAATGGTCTAAATACTTATGGTGAAACTTATTTTCTTCTTGTTGTTTAAATTCTAAAACAGTATGTCATTATTATAGAAAAACATGTTACTATTGTGGAACTAATATAGCGCTATGTTTATATTTTTATGAAATTAAAGTGTTATATATATATTTTTGTTATTTAATTATGTGAATCTGTGGTCCTAAACCGATCCAATCTGTATTTAAATGGATTGGTTCGGATTGGTTCCATGATTTAAATGAATTGGATTAGTTCCAATTTTTCAGGAACCGTAGATAATGGATTGATCCTGATTTTATCCCAATCCGATCTAATCCGGACCATGCTTACCCCTACAAGATACAACTTCAAACCCACCTCGCCCCATGAAAGATCAACAAGTGTAGAGCCCAAAGGAGGCTGGAATTCAATTCTCAAAACCCTGTGTTGCCGTAGTCATTACTTTTGAATTAATTGTTCAATGACACTTCGGCTCAAAAGAAAAGGCTAAACATTAGGAGTAAGTTATGATTTTTTTGATAAAAGATAGTACAATTTTTATAATCAAAATGATGACCAGTAAAGTTATAATATGCATTTAAAAATTATGTTTCGTTATATATTATTTAAAATTTAATTTTTTATTATTAAGATAAAAAATTATTTATTAAATATTTAAATTTAATTTTGTTTATATTTGGAGAATAAATTAATTTTTAAGGTATAGTTTTGGGATAAAATGAAATTCTAAATAAATTTTGATGTCGCGTCAGCACATTCCGTCTAATTGTAGACAGAATGTAACGACAAGGGCTAAATTGATCAAAATTTCGAAAGTTTTGGTGTAAAATTAATATTAATCAAAGTCTGAGAGTCAAATTGAAAAACATGTGAAAGTTTAGGAGGCAAAATAACATTTACTGCGTTTGATTTTCAACTCAAATCATGATTTAGATAAAAGTAAATTCAAAACTCTTCTCAAAATTCATAATCAAATAAAGTTTTCAAAACTCAATTCAAAAACTATTTTCAAAACTCATAACCAAATTCTTTTCAAAACTCGTCTCTGTTGAAAAAAGAAATTCCAATAAAATATTTTTTATTTCGTTATATAAAATTATTTTCATTTTTATTTTTTTTTAAATATATTTTTTTTTTTTTGAAGAAAAATATTTTTTCTTTTTTTAAAAAATATTTTGTTATTTTTTTAAGTATTGACCAAATAATTTGTTATGATTTAGATATATATGGGTGATCCAATTTTTAAAATTTTTAAAAAAAATTAAATATTAAATATTTAAAAAATAAATAAAAAATATTCAAAAATACTTAAAAAAATAATTTTAAAAACATTTTAAAAAATATTTAAAATAAATACTGTGTACAAATATAATAAATGCAGCGCACATTAAAAAAATAAATAAATATTTACAATAAAAATATTTACCCTTAAAAAATTAAATTAAGAAGTTTTTTTAATATTTTAAAAAATAAATTCG